TTAACAAACCCATCATCTTGTATAGTTAGCTGTTTTTTTTTTTTTTTTGTGGTAAGAGTACCTAAAATCTACTCTCTTGGCAAATTACTAGTATACAACATAATATTATTAACTATAGTCCTCGTGTTATACCTTAGATCTCTAGACTTATTCATCTTATAAACCTGTAACTTTGTACCCTTTGACCTACATCTTCCTCTAAAGTCTTGATAAGAAATAGACCAAGCTTCTCCTAATCTCGTGCTATCACCGTAGTATACAAATGTGAATTGCTTCCTAAAATACAAGTTAAAAGTAGTCTTATTTGTTATGAAGTATCTAAAGTAAAGTGAGCTCTGAAAAAAAGCTCTTGAGGTTGGAGTCCCAGACAGTTAGACTGAGCTATATGCCCCAAACGAGCATTATTACTGGTCTGTGGTCTTAAAAAGCTTTTACTCTGTCATTTAAAAAAGTCTGATCAGTGTGGATAGACTCTTTCACGTTAATACCACGGAGTCAACATAACTGTAGTTTTCAAAACTTTCCGACATCTTCCCCTTACCGTCCCCAACCCATGCATTAATACTTGGCTCTTACCTTCATTTCTGCTGAGCTCGATGTCGGCAAACAACCCAATCTTGATGACTTGCCACAAAAGTCCCAGGACTAGATAAGGCTTCCCCTCCTTCAGGTCCTCGGCCCCTATGTTAACCACATGGCACCCGATGGCTGAGGCAGAGTTCAGAGCCAAGTTCAAATTTTCCTGAGGGAGAAAAGGTACGCAAGTTTTATTCTTTGACTTTGTAGTTGCTAAATGATGATTACTGATTGGCAACAGCAACAGTGCTTCCCTTCTGGGAAGTTTATAGGTCTAGAGGCATGGTCTTCACTAGTTTTAACATTTAAGAAAAAACAGTGAATTAATAACTCGAAGAGAAAATCCAGTAACCCAGACACTGAGCTTAGGTAGCAGCCTATTCAGTCAAACCAGCACCCTGAGTTGAAGGCCCCTCCTGGTCAGTGTGAGACTAATGAGTCTTGTTTTTCCATCTAGCTCTGTTGATGAAGCCCACACACACAACATCTCCAATAGCCAGAAATAGAGGGGCACCTTTGAGAGAAGTCATTGTCCTGTCACTGGCTATCATTAATAAGACAATTGTGGATGTAAATCAAGGTCATAAAAGAGAGTAACAGAATAGCTTTTTTTTTTTTTTTAAGACAGAGTTTCACTCTGT